GATGTCAGCCAGCCAGATTAACTTCTGGCCCAAACTTGTTGTGGATGCAGCTCTCTAAGCCATTGTTGAACTGATGTTTGTAACTTTCTGTTCATTTTACAAGCGAGATGCACTGTTCGTTGGTTGCCTTGAACATGGTTGGCTTTATTTTTTTGCGGTTCTGTGTTGTCTTAATTTTTTTGCAATGTTTTCATTGCCAGTTGTGCTTTGTCACACTGTCATAAGGTATGTATACCGATGCTTTTTTATTTCGGCAGATTAATCTAATGTTGAAGACAATCAACATGGAATTCCATTGAGTTTGGGGTAATTCATTTTGTATATGAATCAACTTCCAGGGAAAACTTGTGTGCCAAGATGTCATAAATGCAACACGTGCATCTATATTGTCTTTGCGGTTCTATTTTCACTCTGCACATAAAGTTTATGATTCCATTCTTTCCCTAATCTATAAATAGGCAGAATTTCTTAAAAAATATGTATAATGAATAGGTAGACGGTTCCCTCATGGTGATTAAAATAATATATTTTTTGTGGTGGATGGTGACGGCGTAGCAGGCGGTGGCCATTGGACGCAGCATGGTCAGCAAAGTGCGCTAGTGCCACGACTGGTGAGTGTGACATCGAAGTGGGAGATAGCAAGTTTGGCGCCTTGTGGTGGTTCTTGGAGGTGGCGACGGAGTGGAAAGGGAGGAAGGGCATGGTACTTGTGCACGAGGAGCAAGAAAACCATTCCACATGTGTAAAGGCATTCGGTCAGGTGGGAATGACATTTTAACCTGATTACACATCTTACCCTCTTTTTTTTTGCGTGAAAGCATTTAATCCATTTTTCAAAGTAATTTGGGTCATTTCAATAATCGCATGATATAGATGGATTCCATTCTGCATTCTGATTTTTGCTCCCTAGCTTTAGGGAGCAAACGCCCTAGAGCTATCTGATCTAGGTGATCCCTGCGGGAAGAGGAGCCGAGAGAAAAGAAGAAGGCGAAGGGAGAGAAGGAAGAAAGAGAAATGAAAGGACATCTTAGCTGTGAAAGTGACAAGTGATTATCGGACTAATTGCAGTCGTAAATTAGATTTATATGATCGGGTATTAGACCCATACATATGAAATAAAGGTGGTTTGGAACCCCAAGCAAAACTGAGAAAATAAGATGACATATTTAAATTTCTATGATGTTTCTTATGCTTGAACCATAGGAAAGTCATACTACTAAGAGAGGTATTGAAGGACGAAGAGTGTGAATCAAAGACCTAAGATCCTAGATACACACAAATTCTCAAAGAAGAAGCCCAAGAGAGAACCCAATGAGCATATCGGTTGCTTCCGTTCTGACCCCTGAGTCTTAGGCTCTAGGTGAGTCCAAGAGATAATTGCCTAGAGCTCAGCTTGAAACTCTTAGCATATGGAATTGTGAGTGTATCACAACTTGATCCAGGCATATTCAAGTGGGCCACTATATAAGGCGCCCTCTTCTTCCCCAAAGGGGTGTGGCTTCGAACACAGTCTCTCCTCCATTGTTTAACTCCAAATGCTTGCTAGTTTCTCCCCTTGTGCCTTAAATTCTTCATCCATTTAAGCGAAAAGAAAGACGAGCCTGGAGTTCTTTGTGAGACTCATTTGTCTTGGGATTGTGGGGATACTAAGACGATTGGGCTTGCCAAAAAGCGTCAAAGGTTGTGGGTTTGCTCTGAGCATATATTGTTTCTGGTAATCCCAAGTCTGAAGGATGGCTTTGAATCATTCTCATGTATCTATAATAACAATACACTATAGAATAGTTGCGATCGAAACAACTTAAAACATACGAAGGTTAATCACTTCAATGTATGACAAAATAAATTAGAACCTTGCACCTTATAATTGTATAGTTACTCTCTTAACTGTTAATATATAACCATCCTATGCATGCATATGTGAGATTCCCGCCTAGTCCTCATGACAAACTATAGCTCTATGGCACTGCACTAGGTATAAGTAGCTAGTGGCCCTAGAAGCGTCGTAGGTAAAACCAAGTTAGCAACCAACTAGTACATCGGCAAAACACGAGCACATATTTGGATTATTTTTTAGCATAATATTGTGTTTCATAACCATATGGACCAAGATAGGGCAGTGTCCCCAGCCATAATGAGGGATCAAAATTCTTTACATACTCACACCCCTAAGCTAATAAAAAAACTATGTAAACTAACATTTGAATTTCCAGCCAAAAAGCCTGCCTTTGGAACCAATAAAAATGAAGATCAAACAATGTCCTTGTCACTTCTATTCTATAACTCAAATCAAACTCGACGGCAAACATAGACCACTCACCTTTCAAGTTCACATTTGCTCAGATCCAACTGAGTGAAAACACACCAACTTCTTTGGAAACATATGAAAACGAAATTCAACAAACCAAGAACCATGAGCAACATTAATGCACACCTCACCTCATTGGTCCAACCCAAGCCAAAGGCATATCTAGTCTATCGAAATCATAGTTTGCCTCCAAGCCTCGCTAGCAAGCATGTGGATCCACCTGCTCACTGCCTGCTACTCGGGTGGTTGATTGTGGTGAAGGGATCTCGGTGCCTTGGCTCCTGCTAGTAGGTGAAGTTAGTTTCTCTTTCTTGGAGGGGCAATGTTCTACAGATGGCGGTGCTTCATCTTTGAGCTGGTCTTCCGGGCTCTGGTCCTTCTCGAATTCGTCCATTTGGATAGAGTCGACGGAGCTCTGACTTAGATTTTTGTCATCTCCTTGAGTCGACGAGATTTGGTGTCAGGCACATTAGATCGATTTAAGGGTTCAATGGCAATGACTGCGGCTCTACGACACTGTTCCTAAGAGGCGCGTGCCTGAAGACTTCTCGGTGTCATCGACAAGGTCAAACTGGCTCCAGTTGGGGAGCATCAATCAGCGGCTTGTTTTGGCAATGGTAGTGGTCATTCGTCGGTGTAGGGTACTTGATGTAATTTGTATTATGATTGGGGTGCTATATACTTCTTATAACCCTTTTTAATATATCCGGGTCCTTTTGAAGAAAAAAAACATAGTTCATGTGAGAAAGCTACATCCCGGTTCAATTAATAATCCCTTCCATTTACAACTCAATTAGAAATCGGTGGCAACCCTAGCCGCCCAAGCTGGCAATGGTTAACCGTTACCCATGTCCCCATGGGTAATTACTCTATCAGGGACTGGGATGTACCATCTTTAATGCCCACGAGAAAGAAGTTGGGTCAAATACCTTAGACAACACGCAAGATGGGGATGGGGATGGGATACCATTACCTGTGCATGTTACCTACCTTACCCGTGCAGACCTCACATGTGGACTCTAAAATTAGTAGACCCCAGGTAATTCATGCACTTACCCATAGAAATTTCCACCCATCCCACCACTTTGGCCAAGAAGCCCTAAGAAATCTTTAACCTAGTTACATCATATTGTTTTTTGTGCCAAAATGCTATTTTCTCTACTGAAATGCTATCGAAGGTTGTCGTCGATTGCGTGTATGGGTTTCTTCATGGTGATAAAAACCCGGCAGAGACGGGGATGGGAATCTTTTTATCCCCGCAGACTAGTATGGGGATGGGGACGGACATGTGAAGGTTGTCACGGGGGTGGGGATGGGAGTGCAATACCATCTTGAGTAATCCCCATTGCCAGCCTGACTAGCCGCTGCCACTGCTTCCCTACACGTCGTTGCCTTGGTCCCCCTTCTCCTTTCAGTTTGGCAGCCTCGGCGGCGGCAAGAAGACTGAGCACCCATCAATCTCGTTTCATTTTATCAGTTTTTGTTTCTAGAGCGACATCAACGAGCTAGTGGAGACGATGTCGTGTTGGAATAATGTCTATTCGGTCTCTTCCTACCTCGACGACGTCCAATTTGGCACCGGCGAAGGGCTTGTGAGTGTTTGTGTCCCCGGATCTATTGGTTCTTTTCAACTCTTGGCAGTCAGTGTGTCTTTCAAGGAGAGTTATTGGGTTACTACTGATGTGGCGACTTCAACATCATCTTCATGTTGTTCTGTAGCTTAGCCCGATTTCTCTAAACCTCTGAACTGTTGCTGATTCATTGCAAGACTGTTTTGCACGGGGTGATTCTCCAAGCGATGTTGCTTTAAGGATTTATAGATTTCATCTCAATGGATGACTGGTTATATATTGCGGTCTTCAAAATTTGGTGTAGCGATTTGTAGGTGTCGCTTTTCTTTACTGTTGGTTTAGTGCAATTTTCAATCTTCGGCGGGTAGCGTACAATCGGAGGAAGAAGACTAGTATGCTTTTCAATGTAATTTTATTTTCTACTAGTTGTTCTTGGTCCAGATGTCTATCCATTGTAGTTGCTTTTATTTTCCTTGAGATTAATCAGATCTAAGATAATCTTTATTTCAAAAAACAGAATATCTTCCATGCTTTAAAAAAAAAATACCCCCCTCCCCCAGCTTAAAAAAATCATCTACTTCCTGGTTAGCTCTTACTCCCTTCGTTCCAAAATAGATGACTCAACTTTGTACTAACTTTAATAGATGACTCAACTTTGTACTAATTTTGTAAAGTTAGTACAAAGTTGAGTCATCTATTTTGAAACGGAGGGAGTAGTTAACAGTTGTTCTTTCACCATAATAAACAGTGGAGAATTTATGTTGGTCATGGGATATCCATTAACGACTGATGATTTCTTAAAATCTTGCAATCATATAAATTTTGGACCACACAGAAGTATCTGAAATTTGTAAATTCTTTCAGAATTCAATCTATCAAAATTCACTCAATGTTAATGATTTTTGGCCGAATTGAGTTCTGCTTGAAATTCGTTTCGGCTTGGCCCGCAATTTTGAGGTACCCACCGAGATCCCACACACGTGTTGCAAACCCTTGGGACCACACGAAACAGAACGCACGCGGCCCGAGGCAATAGAACCACGCACGACGCGTGTCTCGGAAAGCAGAGCGGACGCACTCAGACTGCAGACAACAGACAGAGAGTTCGAGTACCGCCTCCCATGGCCACCGCCGCCGCAGATCCCGCTCCGCCGGAGATGGCGCTCCCAGAGGAGGACCACGCTGAAGACATCAGCGATGACGCAGAGGAGGAGCGGTGCCGAATCTGCTTCTTCCCCGGCAAGGCGGGACGGCCGCTGCGCCATCCCTGCGCCTGCCAAGGCACTATGAGGCACGTCCACGACGAGTGCCAGCTCCAGTGGATCGCCACCAGCCGCCAACGCCGCTGCCAGGTCTGGATGTTATCTTCTCGCCTCCTCCGCTCCGCCTAGGGTTTCCAGCATCGCATCCGCCATGCCCCCCTCTTGTCTGCTCCCGTGGCTGCCCACGCTCTGATCCGTCCAGATCCGTCTTGTTTACTGCTGGTTTCAGTCCGATCTAGGTGCGGTGTGATGTTGCCTGCCATGATCCCTTTTGAAATGGGAAAATTTCGTGTCATCTTGCTGCTGGAGTGCTTGTGCTTAATTGCTGTAGGTGTGCCTATCCTTATTTTTCCTGTTGATGTGATGCCCATGCTGATGGATCGCACAATTGTTGCAGGTGTGCAGATACGAAATCACCACCCTCCCTCTCTTCGCCGAGGACGCCCCCGCAAGGCTGCCCTTGTCGGAATTCATGGCGGGCTTGCCGGGCAAGCTCATGAGCCTGCTGCTCCCCTTTTTCCTCATCGCATGTGTCTACCGAGAAACTGCCGACCACCTCACCAACTTCTCGTCATGGCATCTAGTGCTCACCAGGAGCTTTCCTCAGCCGCGTGGTCTGCTCTCGCTAAGCCTCTCTACCACCTCCATTATCGCCCGGGCAGTGCTCTCAGTTGTGCTTGCGCATATTTATGTGCCATTCGCTGTACCGCCATTCACGCGCTGGGTTGAACGCCTGGGAAATCGGCCTCAAGGGATTAGGGGGATTGATGCATTGCACGCCCTTGCGCTATTTATTGTTCAAGCTTGCTGGGTGGTATGCTTTTTTCTTCTCAACCAATTCCTTTTGCCTGCCACTTTATTTATTTTATTTCTATATATGCTACAATGGGTGACTATTAGACCATATTAATGGAATGGTGCTAGGTTTTTATATTGTAGTAAAACACCAATAATTAAATGCAGTTGTGTTATGCAATTCGAACAATTAGCACATCATTGTCATGATTCTCCCAATGTTTTATAGTTAGTCATAGCTAGTTTAGTATGGCTCCACTTCAAAGTGTATCATCATTTACGTGTAGAGGTTATTGCCAGAAATGGTAGCAATGCTAAAACAATGATAATGTGGGAGGTTCCGTAAAACAAAGCTGATAACATGGGATAAACTAGTAGACGATGTTCAATTCTTTACTTCTTCTCTAGTTTGCAATTTTGTTTACTGTTCATCAGTATGGATAGAGACAATAGTGGGAGGACTATTCCAAAATATAGGTGCCGATTTCTTCTGGTTATTATTTTAAGTGCACCACCAGAACTGTATAAGCCTGCCCTGCTCTTTTTGTGCTTTAGTTTCTCTGCAAATGTATTGTTTTCTGCTACCTTTTTAGGCTAGTCAGGGGTGGCCCCACTAGTGCAATTCATGAGTATTCAGTTGAATACCCAAAAAGGTTTGAAAACTGTATGTGTTAGATATGTACTAAACGTGAACCACCAAATTTAGTACAGAAGGAAGCATTTGTTTAGTTAGTAGAGACTTGTTCAGGGAAGAAAGTATTCATGAGTTTGATATCTCTTGCTACAATTCGTTTCCTGTCATTTTGCACCTTTCCCATTTTCTTTCGCTTGCATTATACTTTCTGACACCAGTATTTGTTTTTCCTTTATCATCCTCAACTTTAGATCCCTTCACACTATAAAATGCACGCAAGCACAAGTTAACCTGACTGAGAAACAAAAGTGAATTCATAAAATTTGAAAGAAAAATACAAGTATACGTTTTATAGCTCATTGTGTGCATGCAGTTATTTTTTGTAAAAAATTGCATCTCGGCGGCCAATTACTTTTGGACAAACCTCAAATATGCCCATTCTTTTATGAAATTTGCAGAAGTCGTAGTTGGAGACTATTTCTTTTAACGTGGGCGTGCATGGTGGTGCCAAAACCTGCTCTTTTGAAGATTTTACACTTTCAAACAATATGATTGCTTTATTATTTTCGTAGTACCAATCTTCAAAATATTGGGCCTGCCACTGAGGCTAGTTCTACCCTGGGTGTATCTATAGGGTTGTGGCTTAGTTGAATCCTTTTAGGCAGCGAGTACCCAGTGGCGGAGACACGGGGTGGCCACCAGGGACTCGGGCCCAGGCCAACATGCATATTGTTCTATTAGATCACTGTTTACTTGCTTTTAAAACCTTGTATTTCTATTGTCTGGTCCTCCCCAACATGGATTAACAGCACTCGCCCCCCGCTTCCATGTATTTTTCTGGCTCCGCCACTACGAGTACCTCACATTTCTTGTGCTTGTCTTTTGGTACTTAGTTCCAGAAAATCTTGACCATGTGCTTGTATAATCAGGTGTTAATAGCTGACATGGCCATTGCTTGTATTTTCGGTTTTCTCCCATTCTCACTTGGAAGGATAAATTTATGGTGCATGTCGCCTTTCAATATTGCCAATGTGGGTGAAGTCAACCCCTATATTTCGACAGCTTCTACTATTTTGGTTGGATACATATTTCTCTTTACTACGGGCGTATCTTATGTTGGGCTGATTACTTTTCATCAATACTTGGGTGGCAAGCCCCTTATGATCGCAATTTTCTGTAGAAGACTGTCTGGTATATTCTTCAGTGGGATCACAATTTTCTTTCCAAGGTTACCTGGTATATTCTTCAGAGGGGTATTAAATCTAATCACTGTTGCCAATATTGGTGTTAATCTTTTATACACATTTATACTACACCCACTGTTCATTGGTTGGTTGCTTGATATCTGTACTTCAAAAATGTTTGGTGCAACAATGTCTCAGAGGTTGAAACTTCTGATTGCATCATCGTCTACTACTACTGCTGTTCATTGGTTTATTGGACACATCTTTTTGAGTCTGCGTCTCAGATTTTTCAGAATTATTCAAAAGGTATTTATTATATTATATCTGTATCATGCCAATAATATATGCAATATACAACTCCATTATATAATGTGTGTTGTACTTCTTTCTTGAGTAGATGTTGAAGCCAAGAATTATGATTAGCTTCGTGACCTTCGTCAGATATAATGCTTATGAACCATTCTACATATTCTATTTCAAGAAGCTTCCTAGGCTTTCTGTCGATATTACATTCATTGCTCTCCTCATTCTAATTCCGAGCAAAATTGTTGTCCACTTGGCGCCTAAATTGTTTCCACTCAATATCACGTAAGTATTTTTATATTTGTTCTTCATCTGATGTATCTTCCAGCCTTGGTGACTGAACACATCTAATTAAATATTTTGCAAATCTTAGCTACTTTGATTATCCTGTTAAGGGCACATCATTCTGGCAAGGATCACTGAACTATGCAGAGTTATTTTCTGGTGCACTTTACCTGAAATTTCTCATCGATAGCACAGTTTTATACCTTGAGTGGTTAGTCCCGAGGGTAGGATACTACTTGTTTGTGATTGCTGGAGAGCCTCTGTTGGATGTTATCTTACCGAAAGAGCAGCGTGAAAGCACCGATGAAGTTACTGTCACAAGGTAAGCACCAATAGCTTTGTTCATTCAAGGAACTTCACAATATGCAAATATTTTTGTAGCCTGACTCCATATACGTCCATTTCGTACTAAAATCTATCTTCTACCATTCAATTAGCTAAAGCCTTTTTACAAGGCCAGAGGTGTTGGGTGCACAATTTCCAGTAGATGTTTACCCTTCTTGCACATTGTACCAGGATATTTGTTGCTGTTCAAACAATTCCACAGGCGGTGCTATCATGGTTGGTTGTTGTGATATGCAATACTGCTTTGCTTTTCTTTTCAATCTCAATTGGGCGCGCACTGTTGTCTGCCATCCCTGAGCTGCTGGTACATCAAATGAAGTCGAATGGTAATTATTGTTCACAGATGATCAGTGTACTTCCTTTGCAAAAGGAAGTATATTTTTATCTTGTTTGGGCTTATTTGTGCAACTTTTTCTGTCAGATCTGTTTGCTATTGCCATTGGTTTTGGCGTCATATCATTTACTATTGCCGCCTCTAGAGATGCATTTGTCTGCATGACTTATGGGGGAACACGCCTTGTAGCTTTGGAGATACATGTGATTTTCTTCCTATGGGTGAGGAATTTAGTCGAGGTGCTTTCATTTGTATTTGCTTATTTTTATGCTACAGCTCAGTAACTTAATTAAACTGTCTGTTTGCCAGGTTTTCTTCGTTCCTCTTTTGATCGGTTTTCTTGTTGATCTGTCACTGCTGTCACCCTTCATCGGGCCTGGTAACGATATTCCGGTTCTAGACTGTTTCTGCACTTGGTCCCTGGGGCGGCTAGTGCAGAATTATGGGACCAAATTGGTGAGTTCCAATTTCTGCTGCTGCTTTGCAGACTTCTAAACTTGCTATTATACAGGGTATCAAACCTGGTATAATGTAGTAGAAATTAATTTCTATATGGCACTCACGGTGTACTCGTTGCAAGATAAAAAAATATCACTGCCCAAGTGAACTACCAGTTGTTTGCTTGTTTTCGTTTATTCTATCCCATTTCCATAGTTTCAGTTGTAGCCATGGCATCTTTAGCACCTAGTCTTTCCCAGTTTTGAACTCATAATTTTTTTTCGTGTCCTATGCCATGGGATCTTTGGCGCCTAGTCTTTCCCATTGTTCAACTCATAATTATTTTTCTCGTGTCCTGTGCCGCCACGCATAACTTTCACCGGCTGCCCCGTGATGAGTTTCTATTGGGGACTGGCCTTGCAGCTGGCACACTTATAGGGCAGAATGCAGCTAATTCCGAAATTTTACTCTAATTTGATTATAGTCAGATAAAAATAGGGAATACTCTGACGGTCATATGTTTTTATTGTTGAAGGGTCGTTCCTTCGAGCTCGGGGGCAACCTTCCTTTCCACGGCTGTTTCATCGATAGATGTTGGAGCAGAAAACTTCCGTTGGGAGACCTTGCAGAAACAATGTACAAGCAAGAATTAGTGTCTTTCTCCATGGAGCTGCTCATTGCACTGGCAATCCCTTATGTGCTCTCAAAGGAGGTTTTCCCAAGGCTGGGCTACACCGCCGTGAACTCAACAGTCCACCGTGCCGCGTGGCTGTACAGCTTTGCCTTATGCGTACTCTGCTATCTTGCCAAAGAATCCTACAATACACTCCATGATTCTATCTGGGAGGACCGATACATCGTTGGGCAGAGGCTGGAAGACGTTGATTGAAGACGTTGCCAACAGTAGCTGAAGACTCTTCTTCCCGGGGGACTCTGTATCCCTATCCAGTATTTAGTTCAAATCAAATAAGGGTCGGGTATTATGAACATTTTGTGCGCAAACCTCAAGAAACATAGGTCACATTCACTTGCAAATGTTATGATACCAGGCAGACAGAAAATGTTCTGGTGAAACTTGTAAATGTGGATGGTGCAGAGGGTTGCTCCCGAACCCATTGTTGAACCGAATTGTTGTTTGTAAATTTATGCCTCTTTTTTCCTGGATGGATGGGCTGAGGAGAAACGAGCTGGTTGCCTTGGACGTGGTTTGCTTTCTTTTTGCAATGCTGCAATGTTCTGCTTTTTAGTAATCATTTTTATTTCTCTCGTGGCTTTTTGGTACCAGATATGCTTTGCTATTGTTATAAGGCTCTTATAATTCTCTAATGCTTCATCCAATCAGCACGGAAATATCGTGGAGCTATGGATCCAGTTTTCGCAAGATTCTGGTCAAGATGGCAAATTTTCAACATGGGAATTTAATTTTCCGATCTGGTTCTGTCGTCGCTCTGGGTATGTTTGGATTTTGACCAAAGTAATCGTACCATTGTTTTAGCTGCGACCCTGCTGATAGCATCATGCAAAAAAAAATTGACATGCTAATGCTATTTTGCCAACTCTTGCTGATCTTTTTTCTTGCAGATGTGAGCAACCAAAAGGCTTGGCCAATGTATTGGTAGGGCAACCTATGCATAAAGTGAACATGTCCATCTATATATGAAGTTTATTTTTTTCACTCTTTCCATTTCCTATGATGAACACATTTTCTCATAAAGTAATATAACTAATAGATGCTTCCCTCTTGGTGGTTAAAATAAAATAGATTTGTGGTGGATGGCGATGGCAGAGCGCGAGGGTGCATAGCACTGTGAGGGGTGAGTGTGAAACCAAGGCGGGAGAAGGGCGG